TATTCTTATTTATTTATTTATTTATTTATTTATTTATTTATTTTGCAAAAGGGAAATTAAGAAAAGAGTTCCACAGAAAATAAGGTGCTATTAACAACAGGTACTCGATTAAATGTTTTAAAACAAAAAAATCTCTCCCCTGATTATTTATATGACAGGGGACATTGTTAAGTTGTTTTTTTTTTTTTTTTCCTTGTTCCATAGCCCCATCTGCACAAAACTTTCCGTTGTAAAGACATCACTCCTACGAGGATTTATTTTTTTAATCTTATGTAGTGGACCAGCATTACCTGATTGTATTGACTATTAGTTCATTTACACTCAAGAGTTTAGTTTCTGTCACTATTTTATAACACCATACAATTTCCTTTCTTCCTCTGCTCCAACTTCTTACAGACGCTTCCTTATTCTATTGATGTAAGTTGATAAAATTCCCTTCTGGAACAAAATTAGAATACATAATCTTGAGTCAGGTGAGGAAACTGACATCAGGGAAATTATTCAAGTATGTGCACCATAGTGTAAGACCTAACATTTATGCCAAATTCGTCTCTAACTCGATTTTTCCCAGACTACATGAACTTGTGTGGAAAGATATACTCACAGTCATCATACCAGGTTTGTCCCTTGACCTTTGTGATCTTATGTACTTCATGTGGTCTATTTCCCCATCTTTAAAATGGAAATAATATATTTACCACACAGGATGGTTGGACAGATTTGTTTAAGAGTTAATTTATGTAAAGTGCTTAGAAAAGTTCCTGGGATAGTACACCATTACCAACTCCTATTCCTCTATCACTTTCTCGGTTCATTTCTGTTGTCTATGGAGAACCTGCAGCCTCTCTGAAAAGGTCATGCTTATTTCTAAGGATCCTCAGCAAGGTCTCACAAAGGCTATCAGTTTTCACATGGGCTTTTTTTACTTACTACATTGGTTACGCTTTCAACAATGCTGCTTCAAGGTTTCCCAACCTAGCCTTTGTGGGCAGCCACTGACACTTGTGATTAGGATGCTCTTTCTCAGTACTGAAAACTATGCCAAGGCTTCATATGTGCTATTCCCTGAAGTCTGAGAGATTGCTTTTGTGTTACCACAGTGTCGATTCTGATCAGTGTTCTTTCTGCCTCAAGTTTCCTTTGTCCCTTTCCCTTTGCTCTATGGAATTGAATAAAGATCCATGAGCTAGCAAGACCAATATTATAAAGAGACTCCATGCTGCCCTTTTCCCCTGTGCAATTGTTCCTCTCCTTGTTCTTCTGTCCACCCTGCTTCCCACCAGCTTATTAGACTCTTGCAGCTGTCTGAATCCCGCTGGAGATCAGTTGACCCTCCTACAGATGATAGTCAGGTCCCTGTGTTCAGGAGCACTCCCCAGTGAATTACAATATGAATTAGGGCTAGAGAGCATATCTGAGAATTCCTCACCTTCCTAGCACTTATTTAGAGGCTGAACTCAGAAGTTGCTCAAAATAGCTCCCAAGAAGACCTAGTGACTAACTCCTTAATTAGTATTCTTAGCACTTAGTTAGAGGCTGAGCTCAGAAGTTGCTCAAAATCGCTCCCAAGAAGACTTAGTGACTAACTCCTTAATTAGTATTGATAGCTCATGGCCAAATCCCAGTGAAGAAACCTCTTTGGGGAGGAAACATTCATTGTCTCCCAAGTTCATTGAGGACTATCCTGGTTTTAGTACTGAAACTTCTGTGTCCCAAGAAATCCCTAATCCTGGAGAAACTGAGCTGTTGTTGGTCTAGCACTAGGATTCTCCAGTTTGAAATATGCCCCTTACAACTCCTCTAATTAAACATCATGTCCTACTCCATCCTGCTAGACATACATGCACACTGCCACCATCATCCGGCTTCCTGTTTCTCCAGCTTGTATCAGGTTATATAAGTTAGTGATCCTTCATTGCTCCAGATTTTACAGCCCACAGGAAAATATTCTTGTCCTCTAAGCCTTTTCTCTCCATTTGTTCTGTTATCATTCTTCATGACATTACTGAATTGGCAGAGGGCCTGGGTAGAAATGGAGTGCTTTCAATCGAGAGAGGCTAGAGTTTAGATATTGCTGGCATTTCTATCTTCTGAATCCTTATAGAATTATCATACCTAATGCATTTTCTTATGTTCATTTGCAATTCTTGGGAAGAGAGAGTAGGGAAACTCCCTGGTGGGTGAGGCCCTTACACCTTGTTATCATCTCACCGCATAACTGCTGCTTTCACACTGATTCCTTACACCAGTTCTTGGGCCTGGCACAGCCTCACCATCTGCTTGTGTGACACCAACATTATGGCCTCCCTCCATGCATTCCTAAATGGGGCTGGGGAAGGCCATGGAGATGGTAAGTGTGCCAGCTGGCAACAGTGATACTAACATAGCCAGTGATGAATCATGGCCCACGACAGGGAGGAAAGCAGAGGATGCTAATTGTGAGGCATGATCAGTGCCACAAGGCAGACCTCTTTGCTCTGGAAGCAGAATCAATATGTGTTGTATGTGTTTCTGCAGCAAATGCATCAATGTCTTTTTGATATTCAGTCACAAGAGAATGGTCAGTAGAAGAGAAAACTAGAAATAAAGATCTGAATTGTTCTATGTTTACTTCTGTGTATCTCTAACTGGCATGATTGGTAGACACTCCAAAGAGTGTGAGGATTGCTTGTAAATGACAGTGGATAGTTGTTTATAACCTACTGAAGTCCCACCTACCTCTACTCCTCTTGTAATATCAATGGTTTTCCATGTCCTGCAGCTGATTCATTGAGATATATTCAATTCTCTGAATGCTGCTTTCAGGATTAATTAAATCAGGTAGCTATTCAAGATTTTTTTGCAGATTTTTTTGTTGTTGTCAATACCATTTTTTTTCAATTTGCCAGAGGGTATGTGTGCTTACTTGAGAGAGCAAGTGTGTACAAGAGAGAGGGAAAGTGAGAAAGCACCCATGGGGAATGGTCACACCACAGTTCCTTTTCTTCCATCTTTCCCAGAGATCTAGTGGGAGGTAGGGTCCACTAAATAGAAAATTCCAGATATTGGCCACACTGTGGTAGCACAGATGGTTGGGATTCACAGCATGATCATAGAGCCATATGGAAAGGGTCAGGGTTCAGAATCTAGGTGACATGAAGATGCTAGACACATCTGTAATCCTGGCTGTGTAGAAGGCTAGGGGTAGTGGGAGGATTGTGGTATGGCAAGACTTTATCAGGGTCTTAATAAGTAAGTAAACTTAAAAAAGAAAGGCCTAATGTTAGGAGAATTCTTTATGAGCTAAAACAAGTCACAAACAAGGAATAGTGAATGGAAAGTATGATTTGTGATCTACCTAGAGTGTATTCCCAAAAAGGTGGTGATGATATGGCTAAGAGGTAGCAACCATTACATCAAATGCTTAGAAGTTCATACTTGAGATACACTGAAACTAGGAGATAAGAAAGACAAAAAAAAAAAAAGAGGGAACATTCAAAGGATTATTAATCTAAATGACCCTTAAAGAATAGGGTGTATTCTGCTATGAGGAGGAGGAATTACAGAAGTAGTAGAGGCTATGTTGGCTCCAGAGAGTGGGTTAGAGTGCGGCAAGGGTAAGGCTGGTCTTCACTGTAAAACAGCCTGTCTGTACCAGAGGCACTGAGCTACTTCTCCTCCTCTGTATCTACCATTTTGTTACCATTTTGGATAGGTTGAACTTTGATACCCAGATCACTCTTTTTCATTTTTTTCCTGGAGATCTGGAAATATGAGTGTTTAGTCCTGACTGTAACACTAACTAGCCATGGGATCTCGGGTTAGTCATTTTAGGGTTGGAAGAAAGCACTAAACTTCTTAAAGATTATGCTTTCTCCCTCACTACATTAAAAATAAACCATTGATGTATGAAGATATCCTACAAAGTTCTTAATTTTTCCTATTATTACCTTGATACCTTAAGACAAATCCCCATTTAGAAATATTTTCCTCCACTTCAGTTTCCCTGCTTTGTTAGTGCTCAGTCGAAGCAAATGTTTAGCCTACATGTCAGATGATCAAGCAGTCACTTCTATTTTCTGGACCTCGGTTTTCTTGAAGTTGGAAAATCTTCAATATCTTTTCCAGCATACGTTTTTATAATTTCATGACCTCAAAAACCTGTTTATCTACCTTTATTAGCATCTTATCTTGGCAACTGATATTTTCTAAATGAGAAAGATCATGTCACATTTCCATATTCTCATAATAAAGCTATATCTAACCTTCAGTGACTAGGAGATTTATGAAAGGATATTTGTGTCTCTTTTTATGTCTAAATCTTATGAAGGTTATATGTCTGTAAGAAGATGTGATCACCAGCAATGTCCTTGATTTACTGGTGGATTTATTTTTGAAATCAAGGCAAAGCCATTTTAATAAAGAATAAAAGTTATGACTCATTTATTGGAAAAGTCATGACACATTTTTACATAGAAAACCCATAGGAAAAATTTGTCATGACTTTTCTGACAACCCAGTAAAATACCTGTAAATAATTTGGGGTATGGTTCCGAAAATTTCCCTTAGCCTTTCCAGGCATTCACTTTCTGGCTCATTTGTTCATTCATTCACTCCTGATTTACTTACCACTAATATTTTATAAGGTAAATTTACCTCAAAGAACTTACAGAATTTCTCATGAGCAAATCTCTTATCTGGCCAACTCTAAAACCACTTCCCTTTGACTTTTCACGTCTGTCCTGAATGGATATGGTGCTGTGGTTCTTATGTATACTCAGACAATGGTAGTAGAAGCTCGGTCTCTTCACAGGCCTGGCTGTGATCTGCCTTTTAGATAGGAGTTGTTCCTTATTTGCCAGAAGGTTTAATGTAACAGATATTGCAAGGCAGACAAGTAAGCACACGCACCCAGAGCACACTGAGCCAATACCAATAGCAGGGAGACACTGGGTTGATGGAGGGAGAATGCTGCTCCAAGGTCCTGCTAATGTCTCTATGTGGCCATGCTGTATTTTCAGCTTGTCATCATGGCTGGGACAGTGCTGCTTGCCTACTACTTCGAATGCACTGACACTTTTCAGGTGCATATCCAAGGATTCTTCTGTCAGGATGGAGACTTAATGAAGCCTTACCCGGGGACAGAGGAAGAAAGCTTCATCACCCCTCTGGTGCTCTATTGTGTGCTGGCTGCCACCCCAACTGCTATTGTAAGTACAGAAATAGACTTCTTTCTTAATTGTCAGATACCAAATGGGATGCATTTCCTGTCTGCTTTTTCTCATCTTTCCTCTCTTCCTGGGCATTCACCAGTATCCATTATCATTGGTATACTGTTTCAGCCAAAACAGAGCGAGTGGAGATCCACATAAAAACTCTTGTCTGTTATAGGTGGCTTTTATCTTTTGATATATGAATTTGAAAAAGAAATACAAGTGTGTGTTAATGTCATTCATCACTGGGCATGCTTGGATAACATGTTAAGAACAGCTATTGTGCTCTTGAAAAGGTGTGCTGTGGGTTGTGTTATTCAGAAGAGACTCTGAATGTAAGTGCTATTATTGACATAAAGATTCAGATCAAGCAGAATAGAATCCCCAGGACTGGTATCTCCTGCTGTTCTGATTGAACTTCCAGAAAGGCTAGAGGATGAGAGCCATCACTTGACCTGAAGTTTTCTGTGCTTCATTCTTGATGGTTCTGGCTCCGTTCATGTTATATCACATTCAAGGAAGTTATAATTTTACTATCATGAATTTTGTTTTCTCTGTCATGAGAAAAAAAAAATGGCCAGACAGTTTTCTTGGGAAACTGCTTTAAGAACATAAAGCTCACAGATAATACTTAGACATTTTAATTGTTATTATAAAAATGATTCTATGTGGGAGAGTCCTAAAGTAAATATTTCTGTGTCTAAACATGCAATAAGATCAAATTAGTTAGGACACAATCTCAGCTACCATTTTCTTGTAATAGCTACCTTATCCCCATACTTGACCTCTACGTTCTTTTATAAAAATACTGATTGGCATGCTGAGAAATATACTAGTTCCTCAGACAATTTTTTTTTTTCTGTGCCAATGTTTTGCTTGGTTTAAGATGAGAAATGGAGGATTTTTGAGAAGAAATAATATGGCCATAATGAGTCATATTATGCTCACAAAGTATAACATGATACCTTAAGCAATTTGGATTGTTGATTCCAGGCTCAACAAAGCTTCCTCTTAAATGATAAACTATGCTGGAGGGATTAAAGTCAACATTAATAGTTGAGAGTGGTTAAAAACAAGCTGGAAGAAATAGAAGGAGCTACAGGGGAGTCCATGATTCTCAGCTTGAGTTGATCAGGGACTTCTGCCCAGCCTGCTGTTGGTGCCTAAAGGCTAGAGCACCCATGCCTCCCAATACCTGGTTCCTGCAATTCCTGACATGGAAGGTAGCATCTGCTGCCCTACATGTACTGACACTGTTCTGCCTCATACCCATCCAGGAGCAACAGGGAGGCCCAAAGCTCCTTGGTTTGAGCTCATCATGTTCCCCACTCCCAGCCAGCTCTAGGGAGGAGTGGCTACTCAGTCTGTACAAGCATACTGTGTGGAGTAGTCTACTAATTTTCTAACTCAACCTCCAGCCATAGTGGGAGAAGATTTAGGTGTACAGGAACCAAACACATGAAGACAGGAGATTCCAGAAGAGTTTTCTCCCCCACAATCCTTGTAGCAGTAAGAAGAAAACTCCCCTCTGAAAATCTGAACCCAAAACTTTTACTGGGAATTCTGCACTCCCATTTACAGTAGAGGGAAACACATGGGAGAATTGAGTATATTACCAGATGACTAAAAAAATCAAAAAAGGGCCCCAAGAAATAGTAGAAAAGCAGGAAATACCTCCTCCTCAGGAGAACACAAAATCCTCATAAGCAATTGATAAAACACAAAAGATTACAGAAATTTCAGAATACTCATTGTAACAAAACCCAATGAGAGGGACTAGCAGATGGCCCCCAGGGGGTGATTTCTCACTTCGCCTATCTGTTTCTCTCTGGCAAGTGCACGCACCCTATAATAATAAAAAAAAAAAAAAAAAAAAAAAAAAACAGAAGCCCAATGAGATGCAAGAGAAAACAACTAATTTTAGGAGATAAAAAAAATTCTTCCGTGACTTGAAGGAGGAGCTTCATTAAGAGAGAAACACATTGAAAAAGAGTCAAACAGAACTTTTGGAGACAATACTATGCAGTGCTGGCAGGTGGTGTGGTGGTAAAGGGCACTGGGCTCCACATGGCCGAATACAGCTAAGTCCCGGACCTGGCAGCTTGCTTTCTCACTTTTCCTCTCTGATCACATTAAAATAAATACAATGCAGGAGGGACCAGCAGATGGCATAATGGTTATGCTGTTGGACTTCCATGTAGTTGACTCCAGTTTGAGTCCCAGACCTGGTGACTTAAAACTCAAACTGGGCACATGTGTGCATACCCAAAATCATGAGAGGAGAAAGGAGAAGGGATTGCAGCATGACCATCTTCCTGGGGGATTATTTCTTGCTCTCTGGAGAGTACTCTATAGCAAAAATCTCTCTCAAAAAAAGATATATATATGATTCAAGAAATCAAAACCTCCCTCAAAAGTATCAACAACAGATTAGACTGTGTAAAAGAAAATCTCTGAGCTTGAAGCCAAAACCTCTGATTTATTCCAAGCAACTGAAGAAATGAATAACCATTAAAAACCAGGACAGCATATGAAAAACCCTAGACATCATTAAATAATCAAATATCCACTTAATAGGTATTCCTGAAGTTAAAGAAACAAGTAAAGACATAGAAAATCTCTTTCATGATACTTTAGCTGAAAACTTGACAAATTTAGAGAGGCATCCAAATTGTGGCTTGTCAGGAAAGTCATGGCACATTTTTGCATAGAAAAAAAGAAGAATACATCATTACTTTCCCAATGACCTAATAGATATGAGATCCTCTCCAAAGAATATCATAGCCAAATTGGTAAAAATCATAGATGAAGACAAGATCCTGAAAATGGCAAGGGGGAAACGCCAAGTTACTTACCTAAGTTACCCCATTAGACTAACATCTGACCTCTCAACTTAAACAATGCAGGCAAGGAAAGAATGAGAAAACATTTAAAATTGTGAAAGAAAAATAGTATCAGCCCAGAATATTATACCCATCAAGATTTTCCTTTAAATAGGAAGGAGAAATCAACTATTCCCAGATAAACAAATGCTGAAAGAACTCACCAAACTAAACCAGCTCATAGGGAAATACTTAGGGGATTACTACACCAGAAAAACTAAAGGGAGATAAAAAGAAGAGAGAGAACACAAAACGACTAGAAAAAAAAGGGTAAGTCCACATATAACAACATTAAACATCAAGATTAAATTTAGCAACTAGAAAGTTAAAAAATGTAGATTCACCTATCTTACACACAAGCAGGTTTAAGTACAAATTCAATTATTTCATAGTTGTCTCCTCAGGTTCCCATTTATATATGTATTATTTGTTTAATTTTTATAGAGACTTTTGCTATAGGGTACATCCACTCGCCAGAGAGACAGAAAGTGAGAAATGGCTCCCCAGGGGAATGGCCATGCCACAATCCCTTCTTCTCCATTCTCATCTCAGGATTTTGGGCATGCATGCACAAACACCCAGTGTGAGTTTAAGCCTCTGAGTCTGGTACTCGAACCATAGTCAACTACACAGAAGTCCAGCAATGTAAGCATTACACCATCTGCTGTTTCCTCAATTAATATATTTATCATAATCATTACTCTTTGTATAAAACTAAACAACAGAGGAAAAGTCCAAAGTGTTACAAGTCAGCTACTTTGGAATGAATTTAAGGAAGGTTAAAACCAAGAACTTCGTAAAGCCTATAAATCACAAAATCACTGTCTTTACCACATGTTTACTTTTAAACATCTCTTTCCAATTTTATTTTTGCTTTTGTGAGGACTTATTTATGTACTGTACAACACTATGATCTTATAAGAACTTACAGTGAGTGAGTAAAAATTATTTTCTATCTCTTCCTAATGATCTATTATGTACAAGTTTACTTATCTCTAACTGGACCAGTGATACCATGGATCTTTTTATAATATAAACTCTTACCTCCCACAGTCTTCTATGTGGATATTACAAATTCTTCTTTCATTGGCTATGTTAAGATTATTTTTGTTTTTAAAAAAATCATGAATTTATGGGAACTAGCAGTTAGCGTAATGGCTATGTTGCTGGACTCCCACGTAGTCGACCGCAGTTCGTGTCCCGGACCCGGTGGCTTAAAACTCATGCTGGGCGCGTGTGCGTGTATGCCCAAGATCCTGAGAGGAGAATGGAGGAGAAGGGATTGCGGCATGGCCATCCCCCCTGGGAGGTGATTTCTCGCTTTCTGTCTCTATGTCTCTCTCTGTCTGTCTGACGAGTGCATGCACCCTATAGTGAAAACCTCTCAAAAAAAAAAAAAAACCATGAATTTATGAGATGTTTTGTTGTCTGATTTGTAATCAATTTGTTTTTCTTTAGAACTGTATTTCACAGTGAAGAATGCCATAGACAATGCAGTACATACTTACAGAATAACCAGGGAAGCAGGTTTTGAATGTTCACAGTATAATATAATGTTAAACATTGAAGGTGGTGAATGTTTATATCCTCAGTTTGTTTATTATACTCTTTATACATGCTTTGAAAGACTATTCTGTACCTTACAAAGACATATGATTATATGTAAATAGGTTATAATAGAAAAAGAAACATATTCTTCCTGATTTTAAGGTGTTACTTGACTAAAATACTTTTTGGGCCATTTATTTTAACTATAAATACACTGACTGATGATAAGAGACGATATATACCAAATGATGTACGAAATATTAAAATTCACAGAAAAACAAAAATTTTTCCTACCCAGCATACCTGAATTCACATCCCAGCTATGTATTTTATTATCCCCCCCAACAAAATGAGGATAACTGGTCGCCTATTTCACGAGTTATCAGAAGGCCTAGAAATGACTTACTGCAGTACATAGAGAAACAAAGAACCTGGCTGGAAGCCATTCTTTGCCCTCTTTATGATCACAGACGAACTGCCTCAATCTAAAAAAAAAAGAGAGAGAGATACTACAGAACCTCCATAAGATCTTTTCTGTTTGGCTCTAGAGTGATGGTTAATGTGCCC